TCAGGAAGGGGCCTGAGACCAGGAGTGCATCCCGTACAACCTGGGAAAGGGGATCAGTCAGGTTTTTCTCTTAGTTCTCATTAAAGGTCCATACTCTGTAAACAAGCAGAGTTCACCACTGAAGTTTGTGGAGAAGATACTCTGGATTGTGAGGTTTCTTGTATGTAGAACAAAGGAATTCCACTGCTGTGTCTAGCCCACCCAATGAGGATTTGGGCACAAGGTACCATGTCCTAGGAAAGTGGGTGGAATCCAGGATTAGTGCAAGGCTTAAATCCCAAGAGACACAATGTTCCGTTCTCCAGAGAGATGAGCATCGGTGGTAATGGCCTGAAACTGTTATCAGGTAATGTCAAAAGAAAACATCAGCTACATTTGTACTTTAAGGAATGGGTGTGCAGGAAGATTAATTGTGAATGCAAAAATAAAAAGAAAGCTAAAGAATGTAATGTGAGGTTTATGGCACTGAACAAAAACTGAGATAAATTGTTGGCTTACTCCCCAGAAGTTCCATTCCATTCCGATTCGCAGAAGCACTTTCTTTCTTTCTTTCTTTTCTCTTTTCTTTCTTTCTTTCTTTCTTTCTTTCTTTCTTTCTGTCTGTCTGTCTGTCTTTCTTTCTTTGTTTCTTTCTTCCTTTGTTTGTCTCTCTCTCTTTCTTTCTTTTTTTTTTTTCCTTTCTTCCTTTCTCCCTTTCTCCTCTTCTTCTTTCTTTCTTTCTCCTTTCTTAGGCAGAGTCTCTCTATGCAGTTCAGGCTGGCTTTGAGCTCACTTTACAGCCCAGGCTGGCCTTGAACTCACAACTATCCTCTTGCCTCAGCCTCTCCAGTGCTGGGAATACAGGCATGCGCCACCATGTACAGTTTATTTCTTTTGATAAGCAAATACATTTCTAAGATTACAAAAGAAACAAACATTACTTCTAATAGATTGATAAGCACATAGGGCACAAAGCAATTAGTCAGACTTTCACCTGTCAGAAATAATCATCATGACTTTTAGATTTACTCTTTATACCATGATATCACATGATATTCACACTAATGCTATAATTAAGTCAAAGTCTCTGTTTGCACATTGGAGAATGATTTCCAGAATGTGTTAATCATTTGCCTCAATCAAGCTGCACGCTGCATGAGTGTTTCTACTGCACACTTTGCACCCTTGTCACACATGGACGGTCTGCTTGCAATGACCCCCAAATAGAAAATGTTTTGTGTGCAAGAAAGTTAAAAGGATCACAATTTTCAAATTTTTATCTTTTAATGATGGGGGATGATTTTTTAACTTATTTAATTTTTGTTGTTGGTGTGTGTCTGTGTGAGGGGTACTTGTTAAATAACATGTGATCAAGAAGGGATGCATTATAATAAAGGAAAAAAATACCTAAACATCAAGAAAACAAGCATCTGAATTTTCTAATCCAAATAATATTTAGTAGTTTTTCAATCTTATACTAATAGCTAGTAATATGTCAAAGATGGAACAGAAAAAATTTACAGAAAATAATCCTTTATCACTTCATAGTAATCTACTTAATTGTCTTTCAGATGAAATAGCAAACTGGTTCCAAGTCTCCTCTCACAAGAGGAGCACTTTAATCTCACCACTCCTACATGACCTTGCTCAGCCTTTAAACAGTCACTGTGATTACCTAAACAGCAAAGAGGCAGAGCCATTGATAATAAGAGAAGCAGAACATTGGCTGAGAGTAGGCAGGAAACTTGGTGCCAGGGCCTCTGGTTATAAATAGCCTGTGAAAGCTGAAGAAAAACACAGGAGCGGCTCTGCAAGAGGAGTAACAAGCAATGGATTCCAAACAGCGCGTGAAACTAAGTGACGGCCACTTCATTCCCGCCCTGGGATATGGCACCTATAAGCCTGAGGAGGTAAGAGAGGCGAGGTTGGGGTAGGGAATGTAAGCGGAAGTAACCTCGCAGGAGAGCTGACTTGGCAGGTCAGGTCACTCAGTGTCTGTGTGGTTCTGGGAGTTTTACCAGGTTTTGTTTTCTTCTAAGTGAGACCTTTTCCATGGACTGTACAGAAGATTGTTAGATCTTGCTCCGCATCAGGGACTGATAAAAGTATCACCTATTGACTGTGCTGGGACGTATGTTATTTCCTTATTTCAGTTTGTTCCTCAGATCGGCCGATAAGATGAAAATCTGCAGTCAACACAACTGCTTGTAAAATTCTTCTCCCAGGGTTTGATTGCTATTTATCTGTCTATTTTTATACTTTGGGAAATTTATATTCCCAAAGACAAGATCCTGGGGAAAAGGTGTGGTAAAGGTTAATGGAGATGAGACATATACCATAAGTAACGGGGAGTGCTGCTGTTCTGATTGGGGTAGTCGTGATCATAACCAAGGTAAGTACTGAACGTGAGCCAAGTAGAATTTCCAGTGGACTACTGTCAGCTCTGAAAAACTGTCCTGAAAGTACAACATAACATGATGGTAGGAAAAACTAACACCTATTAAGAGTGTACGTGAATCACAAGTCTGTTACTGTGCTGGATCTAAAGCACAATGATAGACTGTCCTTTGAAATGACGTTAGCAAAGTAGAGAGTGCAGAGTTCCCTAGAACTGAAGGAAAGTTTTCTAGTAATATGCTCTGGCCCGTTAATTGTTTTACAAAGCACTAACTCCCTGCACTTTGAAGTCATAATTTTCCTTTTAATAAGACATGAGGAAATAGCCAAAGAGCAATAGTGCAGATATGAGCTAGGTCTTGGTTATTTTTAGGGCAGAGAATCATGAATCACTGAAAAGGAATAAGATTACACAAAAAAGAGGCTGGAGATCTAGCTCAGTGGTGCAGCACCTGCCTGGCAAGCACAGGGTCCTGAGTTCAATTCCCAGTACCAAAGAAAAAAAAAGCTTACACAAAATGATGGAGCCTTGCTAAATCTCTGAGTGGCCTTATGCCCAGGAAATTCACAGCTGCAATCAGGACTGATGGTGGGACCTCGTCTCTCCTTCACTGTAATTTTACTGAAAAATGAAACTTTCTGAAATTCATTAAGTCAAAAAGCATGTGTTTGATTTTTTGTTTGTTTGTTTTTTTTTTTTGTTTATTTGTTTATTTGTTTTTATCCGGGACCAGGAATTGAACTTACGACCTTGCATGTGTTTGACATTTTTACCTTATAATTTAAAGTGAACTTTCTTTTTTACTGTTATGTATTAGCAATAAATACTGATTGAATTAATCATACAGAATTGGCACATACAGTATGGTATCACCACTTTGTCGTTTTTAATTTCAATTCATAGCCAAAAATGATAGACAAGGCAATAATTTAAAATTTCACTCTAATCATATCTTCCCTAAAAAACAGAGTTATGTTTGAATGGTTAAAAAGTAATTTAATAGCTCCTTCAATGAAGAAGATAACTTTTTAGTCATAAATCTATATACTTTGAGTATCTACTTTGCTAAGCCAGTCTTACTTTTTGTAACTATTGAGACTGGCTATGTAACACAAGACCATTCTCAGTGTATTCAAGAACTCAAAAAGAGATACCCCCATTTATTCCAGTTGCTATTACCAATACAGGCCCCATCTGGTATCTAGGAACTCTGATTTCTTACCATTCAAAACAAGTGAAACTGGTGGTTGTTCCTAGAATGCTGGTACCAACTGTGGAGTTTATGTACCTCATTCTACTTTGGTATAGTGGACCCTGATGTGTCCCAGCATGGGAGGAATATGCAATGTACCTCTGCAAAAATCTTAGGAAATGTTTCCAGAGCTTTCCTTGGAGATAGCATTTTTGATACATGTTTAAAATCAGTATAGTGGGTATTTAGTGTGTTATGAATATTCACTAGTAAAAGATTCTCAGAAATGTGCACAATATTTCTTCAATACCTTGCCCCACAGATGTCTCTCCTCTGTGAATTTTACTTTGTGACCTCACTATATAAATTTTAATGGACAGAACCTGTATACTGAGTCCTTTGATTTCTAGAACAAATTGTCAAAATTGGGATGTTCCTGGGGTCCTGAGACGGCACTGATGTACTCAAATAGTCTGAGCCTGAGGTGGTTCTTGAGATAACAAATTTTGGAAAAGGCGGAGGCAAAGTGGGCTTAGCTTAATTTCATTACTCCAAATTCAGAACTAACTCAAGACATGGGATATGTTTATCTTCTGAAGGTCCTTGCTTCTGCTAGTGACATTAACAATTTTTGTTTGCATGTTTCCTTCTGTCTCATAGACAAGAAGTTGGAAATTTGAAGTTCAGGGAACCAGTTCTTTGTCACACAATTAAGTAGTCTGGGGTGGACTTTGGAATACATTATTTATTCCAGTCTAGTGTACTACTAAATTTGCTTGCTATGAGCCAACAATCATAGTATGTACTGTGTCTTCCAAAACCATATTCCATTTTTGTTTTAGGTTCCTAAAAGCAAAACCTTGGAGGGCACCAAATTGGCTATAGATGCTGGATTTCGCCATATTGATACTGCATATACTTACCAAGTAGAAGAGGAAGTGGGAACCGTCATTAAGAATAAGATTGCAGAAGGCATTGTGAAGAGAGAAGACATATTCCTCACTTCAAAGGTATTTTGTATAAAGCATTTGCTTTGCAAATTAATAATATATCGTATGTGGAAGCAAAAACTAAATTATTGAGTCTGACTTGGTTAAATGTACTCTTAGTATAACTTTCATTCACATATAATTCATAAATAAGATTCAGGATCAAAAGCAAAGAATGATTGGGAATTCATAGTGTTGTATACAAATTTATAATTTTAAAATCCCTCTACCTGGAATATCAACATGGTGTCATTTTGTATGAGTTGTGGAATTGGTGTGAATGAAAACCAGATTATGAGTTTCCTCATCTCTTGAATGACTTCCTAAATCTTTCATCACTATGAATATCATTCTTTCCTTTATCAATATCAAGAAGTAGTATAGCAGTTCTTTAGGTAGTAAGCAAGATATAACTAAACTCTCTTGTATTTTTTTCCAGAATTTGTTACAGTGTTCAAAATGTTTCAAAGAACCAATCTTCAATTCACTGATTCTTTGTATTGTTTTGTTAGTCTCAGTTGCATTAATTTTTGTTCTGATGTTTACAGTTTCACCCTCATAGAAGCTTTGGGCTTGACTTGTTCTTTTTCTAGAAGTTTGAGGTTCAACATTAGGTTGTTTATTTGAGCTTGTCCTGTTTTCCTGAAATGAGAATTCACCACTACAAACCCCTAACCAACCTTATCTTAAAAAAGAAATGGAAGAGTCAAATCCATGCAATTAAGAACAAAAATGGTGAAACCCCAACAGACCCTGCAAAAATCAAGATCATCGATATATACTTCAAGAACCTATACTCAAATAAGATGGATAAAAGAAGAAATGGACAGATTCCTTATACATATGAATTACCAAAGTCAAATCAAGAAGATACATAAATTCTAAGTAACCCAATATAAGTCAATGAAATTGAAGATATAATTAAAGGCCAATCAAGAAAGAAAAGCTCAGGTCTTGATGGATTCATTGGTGAATTCTATAAGAAATTTAGAAAAGATCTAATGCCAGTAGTCCTCAAAACCCTTAATGAAATTGAAAGAGAAACAATATTCCAAAAGTTGTTCCTGGAAACAAGTGTTACCCTGATGCTAAAACCAGAGAAAGATCCAGCCAAAAAAAAGAAATACAGGTGAATCTCTCTAATGAACATAGACACAAAAATCCTCAATAAGATATTAATGAATAAAATTTGACAAATCATCAAGAAAATTATACACCATGAGTAAGTAGGATTCATCCCTGGGATGCAAGGATGGTTCAGCACACACAAATCAATATACACCATAGCAACAGAGTTAAGGACAAAAATCACATGATCATGTCAATCGACATGGAAAAAGCATTTGACAAAGCACAACATCCATTCATGGTAAAAAAAAAAAAACTTAAAGAAAATTGGAATAGGTGGTCTTTATCTCTATCTGATAAAAGCCATCTCTAACAAACCAGCAGACAATGACATACTAAATGGTTAAAAACTAAAAGGTTTCACTCTAAAATCAGGAACAAGACAAGGATGTCCACTGTCACCACTTCTATTCAATATAGCTCTTGAAATATTAGTCTAAGCAATTAAAACAAGAGAAAGAAATAAAAAGAATAAAGGTAAGAAAGGAAGAAATAATTTGCAGATGATATGATATTAAGTCAACACTCAAAAATCAATATCATTTCTGTACACAAATAACAATCTCATTGAGGGAGAAATTTGGAAAGGCACACCTTTCACAGCAGCATTGAAAAGAATAAAATACTTAGGAGTCTATCTAAGAAAAGAAGAAAAAGACCTTTATATTGACAACTAAAGAAATTCTGGAAAAGGAGATTGAAGAGGATAGTACAGTATTTGGGTATGAAGAACAAAGAGTGAAAATGGTCATACATCCAAAATTGTTACACAGATTTAATGCAATCCTAATCAAAATACCAGTAGCATACTTACAGAATTGGAAAAAACAATCTTGAATTCATTTGGAACCAGAAGAAACCTTAAATAACAAAAATAAATCTGGGCAACAAAGGTAAGGCAGGGGGCATCACAGTCCCTGACTTGAAATTATACTACAAAGCTACTGTGATGAAAAGAGCATAGTACTGGTAAAAAAAGAGATCTGAAGGTCAATGGAATAGATTAGAAGATGCAGAAACAACTCCAAATGCACACAGCCAACTTATCTTTGAAAAAGGGGTGAAACACCTTCCCTGGAAGAAAGATAGCTTCTTTAATAAATGGTGCTAGAAAAGCTGGTTTGCACATGCCAAAGATGTAAATTAGACCCATGTAGTTCACCATGCACTAAAGTAAAATCAAAATGGATCAAAGCTCTCAATGTTAAAACAGTAGCATGAAATCTGCTGGGAGATAGGATATGTGGAACTCTTGAAGACAGAGGTATAGGCAAAGAGTTTATGAAGAAAACCCCAATCACACAGGAAATACTACAAAGAATCAACAACTGGGATCTCATTTTGTTAAAATCTTTTGCATAGCAAGAGAAACCACCAACAGAGTGAAGAGACAACCGACAGAGTGGGAAAATTTTTTTCTAGCTATCCCTCAGACAAAGGACTGATGTCTAGAATATATAAAAAACTCATATCAGACCTCCCAAATCCAAATATCCAATCCAAAAATAGGCATTTGAAATGAATGGACACTTTTCAGATGAAGAAATAGGAATGGCAAATAAGTATATGAGAAAGTGTTCAACATTGTTGGTCTTTCAAGAGATGCAAATTAAAACAACACTGACATTCCCTCTCACTCCAGAAAGAGTGGTTATTATCAAGAAATCAACTGACAACGAATGGGGGAGGGGTTATGGGGGAAAGTCCCTCCACTGTTGGTAGGAGTGTAGACTGGTGCAACCACAGTGGAAATGCCTCAGAAAGCTAGGACTAGAGGTTCCATTCAACTCAGCTATTTGTCTCCATGATACTTTCTCAAAATAATTAAAGGCATCATACCACAGCAATATGCACAGACCCATGTTTATAGCAGCACAATTTGTAATAGCTAAAGCTTGTAACAAGCCCAAATGCCCATCCACTGATAAATAGATAAAACAATATGGTTTTGCAATATAGTGGAGCACTTCTCAGTCCTAAAGAAGGATAACCTTGAAACATTTCTAATTAAGTGGATACACCTTGAGGCCATACACTTAAGTGAAATAAACCATGCACACATGTAAATATTGCATTGTTTCTCTGGTGTGAGAAACTGAAATAGTAAATTAGGACCAAAATGTGTAACAGACATTGTGAAATAGAAAACTGTTCAAATGAGAAGGGTAACTAAGGAGGCAGGAAAGGGAAAGGAAGGAAGGGAAAAGGACAAAAAAAAACCACAAGAAAACAAGCAAAAAATGAAACTGAGACTGTTGTAAATAAGGCGGGGATATGGGTTGAATGGAGGGGAGGGAAATGGGAAAAAAAGGGGAATCAAGATATATGAGGTACAGGTACAAATTCCTGAGGGTTATGATCATTATGTATATAAAATGTACCAACAAATTTAATTAATTAAAAAATGCTCAAGATGTGTTTTCTTTCCATTATGTAACTAATAGCAGGGTAATTCTTCTCCAGTGAATTAAATGCCTAAGATAATTAGACTAAAAATACCAATGAAATCTCTCTGAAACAAAATTCAGAGAATGGACAGCATGACTACTTCACACACTGTTATTGCCTTTGTAATTTCCTTTCATTGTTCAGTGGGTTGACTGACAATAGCCAAACCTATGGTTAAATTCATATGGATTGGCCAGATCAACAGGAAAATAGGCAATATTTTTCTTGATTCTCATCAATTTTTATCCAGCACAAAGCATGTCGAAGTTATGTGAAATTTTGAATAGTTTGTTAATACAGCATAATTTCCACTTTTTATCTCTACAGCTTTGGTGTACTTCTCATCGATCAGAAATGGTCAAACCTAGCTTGGAAAATTCCCTAAGAAAACTTGGCTTGGACTATGTTGACCTGTATCTCATTCATTACCCAGTGGCCATGAAGGTGAGCAATTCACATCATCAGAACTGTGTAAATGTATCTGGCAGCATGGTTATCATTTTAATGGATGACTGAATAAATTTTGTGTTATAATTTGTTTTGATTTTTACTTACTTGTTTCTTTTTTGTAAGAGGTTCTTTTTTTGTCTATGACTTGTACTCTGAATAACATTATGGACAATCACTTAAGTTTATGACACAGCGTATGAACTATCACTATTCTCTATTTTGTTGAGAAGTTTTGATTTATTTTTTCATAGATTATGAAGAGTGCTTTCTATGTTTTCTTTATATTATCCAGTTGTATTATATTAAAATAAAAAGGTCGAGCTGGGCATGGTGGTGCATGCTTGTAATCCCAGCACTTGGGAGGCTGAGGCAGGAGGATCGTTGTCAGTTCGAGACCAGCCTGGGCTACAAAGTGAGCTCACAACCAGCCTGAACTGTACAGGGAGACCTTGTCTGAAAAAAAAGTAAAAAAAAAAAAAAAGAGTAAAAAAAAAATAAAAAGGAATGTATCCCTTCATCCACATTTCATCTGTTAAACTAGGGGTTTGCTCAGGTCCTCTGCTAGCTAGCCTGCTCATTGCCTGCAAATAAAGCCTTGGAACAGTTCAAACTTCATGTCATAAACACTTCTGTATTTATGTAAGATAACAGAAGAACCAAAGTACCTAAGGACATTTTGATAACTCCTTACACAAACTACAGTATAAATACAAATGTCTGGATTGGTGAGATTTATTTCACTGAGATCAAATGTACCATAAATTAGGTATATTTCACCTATTGCTAAGGGTGAGATGCAGATACCTGATGAGATTACTGACATAGTGTTTCTGATCCAGCCAGGTGAAGACCTCTTCCCCACTGATGAAAAGGGAAAATCATTATTGGACACAACGGATATCCTTGCCACATGGGAGGTGAGTACAAGGGAGACACCACAGTGGAGGAAAAGGATTGTCAAGTCATACATCAACCTGGAAGAGTGGTTTATATAGCTGATCTGGATTGGAGGAGTGGTGTTTTCAATCCATTACACAGAAATGTAATGGCACGAAAATGATGAACAGAATTGAGGACATTAGTAATAAACATCCCTGGTTTCCAAATGCAGTCATGTCCCTAATTCCTTAAGGAGAATGTAGGCATTCTATTTGTGGAACTCAGTATCTTTTTTCTCTTTTTGTCTTTCCATTTTTAACTTACAATTACAATCAATTGTGAATAGCATCAATGCCAGTTTCTCCTAGCACTTGTGTGTTGCATTCAGATTGACATAGCCACGTGTACAAATGGTGCTTTACAATCCATTGTTCCCCAGGCCATGGAGAAGTGTAAGGACGCAGGACTGACCAAATCCATCGGGGTTTCTAACTTTAACCGCAGGCAGCTGGAGATGATACTGAACAAACCGGGACTCAAGTATAAGCCTGTCTGCAACCAGGTGAGCACTGTCAGGCTCCTCTCCAGTCTTATGCATTTACTGACTTCTGTGTGACTGCCCTGTATCCATCTGTGCTACACCCACCCGCTGCTCATTGTACCTTTGGGGAACAGAAATTACTCAAAGCAGTTTTTCACCAAGGACAGAGAGGATCACCATCCGTGTCTCTTCTTGGTAAAGTCTTAGTGAAATGGGTGGGAAGAACTTAGTGTCCAGTATGTATGAGTCTGGGGTTGTTATGGGACCTCAGGAGGAAGGTGCACTTCTCATGAAGCTATGCAGAATGACTGTAGATTGTATGTATAAGATGATTTGCAGAGTAAGGCATAAGAAAAGAGCCAATGAAATATGAAGTAGACAGTAAATAGAGGTAGATTGAAAGTAAGAATAGATTAGTGGTTAGGGTTTGGGGTTCAGATGAAGATGAATCCTTGTTATTTTGCTTGAAAACTTTCTATGGTAAATTTTATTTTATCGGTACATGTTGGCCATGCAGGCTGATTACATTCAATTTGGGGCACTGGTACATGTACACAACGTCTTAATTCTTTTTAAAATTCATCCTTTTCCCCCCTGCCCATTTTCCCATGTCTTAGTTACCTTCCCTTTTGCAAAAGATCTATCTTCCTGTTTTATATCATCTTTTGCTGTGTAATTTACCTCTATTTTTGGTTTTACATATAAGACAAATTATGGTATATTTCAGCTTGCCTGTCTGACTTATTTCACTTAACATTATGGTTTCATTTCCTACCAATGATTCAAGTTCCTCCTTTATGGCGGAGTATCCTTCATCATACACAAATATCACATTTTCTTTATTAATTCACAGTTTACAGGTTTTATGACCAGTAATGTAGCACTTGATAAGTAAACTTGAGACTATTAAAATAATCCAGGATAGACAAATGAATTTAGTGGTTTATAAGAATAATGATGGTGGATGAAATCTTTATTCAGGAACTTACCATCCAATGCCTACCTGAATATTTGCCTGATCACATCATAATCAGGGTTTTCTCCATGCTTTTTCCTTTTAAATCAACTGTTTCAAGAGACGAGCTCGGGCCCGGTGTGGTGGCCCACACCTATGATCCCAGCATTTGGGAGGCTGAGGCAGGAGGATCACTGCGAGTTCGAGGCCAGCCTGGGCTACAAAGTGAGCTCAAACCAGCCTGAACTATATAGCAAGACCCTGTTTCCAAAAGATAAAAAAGACAGAGAGAGAGAGAGAGAGAGAGAGGAGGTGTGCTTTTTTTATGTTTTGTATTTTTGAAAAATCGCATGTATAAGGTAAGAGTCTTGAATTTGACACACAGCTTTTGATATTCATGAGTATATATGAAGATAAAGCACTGTGACTGTCAAATATAAAATTTAAAAACTAAATGTACTTTTAGTACCACCTTAAATTATCTTATCAGAAATATTTCATATGCTCAGAATAACTGAGAGCAGAGTAAGGAACACCCATATTATCTTTACCAATTCAAAATAGTTGATGTTTTTGTAATCAGTCAGATACTGATGTACATGGGAATATCTGCATAAAAATGTTTAATTTTTTGCTGCATCTCTTCTAAGTGCATTTTAAACACGATATTTTAGTGACCTCAGAAGACATCCCTTGGGAATGAAAGTATTATCTGATATAGTTACCTATTCATAAGTGCAACCAAAGACATCAGCAAATATTTCCTTTATCTCATCTGAATCCAGTAGGTGTTTGAATAGGTTAGTGATTTAAGAAATATCTCTCACTGGTCTGTTTCATTCCTTGCTTTGTGTAATGAGGCTTAATTTTTTCTCTCAGAAAGCTCATTAATTTCCCTGATGTGAGGCTGGAATGTTTTGCATATTCTGGATTTATCAGATTATTGTCTTCTAATGTCAGTAAATTCATTCTATATTCCAGTCCTCTTTCAATTGAAATATAGATTTGAGATCTCCATTACAGTTACCTGCAACACTTTTTACCACAAAATAAATTCAGTGTGCTCTGTTACTCAGTGGTATTGCAGTAGAAAACACACAATCAATGATAATCACCCATAATCCCCACTATTAGTGCTGCTTCTTTTGATCACTTGGTTGAACATTTGTAGGTAGATCTCTTCTTTGTGACTATATGTTTTCTTCTATTACAATTACTAGTGCTCTGTAACTGTCAACAGAAAGATTTCAATTCAAGATCAGTTTTTATACAGTAGAGTATCCATGCATCATTTCTGTGAGACTTAGATGTTTCAACAGAATTTGTAAATATTTATTTTCATTTCAATGAATATATTACCTTTCTTGCACAATATTTCATGTGAAAACAAGTTTCATTATTAACTCCCTTTAAATTGCAATTATTCCTGAAAGATAGGATAAACACAAATACAGTTCCTTTTATTATCAAAGTTCAGAGGAGAGTTGCAATAATAACTCCATCAACAAAGAATTTTTTTTCTCTTATTCTTCCTGTGTTCTATGTGTTTGGGATTAAGAATTTTCATATATGCTATGTGTTATACTAGTTCTTATACATTGTTTCTCTTAACACACAAGTCTTCTGAAATGCTATCAGTAGAATGCCTACCATAGTTTTTTTTGGTCTTTTAATTTATTTTCATGATTCTTTGGTCAATTTTTTGATTTGCAAGCATTTAGGATTTTGGGGGGTTTTTTTGTTTTTTTTTTTTCTGGTACCGGGGATTGAATTCACGACCTTCTCCTTGCCAGGCAGATGCTGTGCCGCTGAGCTAAATCCCCAGCCCCACATTTAGGATTTTTTTGATTGTCCAAGGTCAAGAATTTCAAATATCTTTTTGAAGATATAAAACATCTTTACTGTTCACACACCTGGTTCACCTCAGGAAAGTTACTTTTCTTTTGTGATCTGTCCCACTTAAAAAGATATTAAAGATTATTACAGAAAAAAACATTATGTTGAAGATTTCTATTCAAATAAAATGTGCCACAATTTTCTTATCAAAACTTACTATCAGATTGTTTTTTCCTTTGACATTAGGTTTTCTTATAAGTGATCCCTTTCTGTGTTGTCCTTCTACAGGTGGAATGCCATCCTTATCTCAACCAGAGCAAACTGCTGGATTTCTGCAAGTCTAAGGACATTGTGCTGGTTGCTTACTGTGCTCTGGGATCTCAACGACCAAAACGATGGTAATAATGAGAACAAGAAATATAAAAAGACACCACTGGTGGTGCAAATTAGAAGTCCTGCTATACACTCTTTTGTACAGTTCAGGGTCTCCTGTCTCAGGCAGAGGGAGTAATTAGCATTTCTCCAAAGATCACGCAAGATACACATCCTGCTGCTTTGTGGACTGCATTTGAGGATCACTGGTCTAGGTCTGGCTCCATAGTCTGCATTAGAAGCCTCCCAACAGACCAAATTCTCACCCTGGGTGTCCACCATGTCTGCCTTCCATTCCAGGGTGGACCCAAGTGCTCCAGTTCTCTTGGAAGATCCCGTCCTTTGTGCTGTGGCAAAAAAGCACCAGCGATCTCCAGCCCAGATTGCCCTTCGCTACCAGCTGCAGCGTGGGGTTGTGGTTCTGGCCCAGAGTTTCAAGGAGAACGAGATAAAAGAGAACCTGCAGGTGATGGTGGGGCTGTGGGCATCGAGGTTCCAACTCAGCATTCTTCACATGTGGCCACCTTGGAAAACTTTTAGGATATTTTGCATAGTTATGACATCACTAGCATTTTTCTTGTGTATAAGGTTTCAAGGGTGTTTGGATAATGTTTTATCCTACTGCAACACAAGAGAGATAGCAGATCCAATGAGAATTAGAATAACATAGAACACAGGAACTTTGGTTTTAACATTAAGCCAGCCATGTAACATACGTCTTGGTGGAAATGACAACTTCTTCCTTTTATCTTTTAAGTGAGTTACTTGCATTGAGTTTTCTTCATTCTACAAATCATTGTGATGGTACTTATATTTCCCTGAGCTCTTCTGTTCATTTAATGTGGTTGATTATTTATTTTCATTCAGATCACCCCTCTTATCGTATAACTTATGGTATGTGGAAAACAAACCACCTCAAGTGCTGAAGTTTAACCTATGCAACTCTTGTTTTACATGATTCTCTGGCTCAGCATGAAGTATTAAAATGTATTCTAGCTGTTAAGTGTTCATATTTATTTTGATTGGCATTGCACTGAAACTACTAATCAATTTGGAGGGAAATGAGTTTTTGAAATGCTAGAGGTTTCAAATCCATGGTTTTAATATGAATTTTCAATTATTTAGGTGGTCTTGGAATATGTTTGAATGGATTTCATAACTTTCTCCTTTAAGACATTAATATATGTTCCTGATATGATATATTTAAGCCTAGGTCAATGAGAATTTTAATAATCTGTTCATAGCATATTCATTTCTTGTTATGGAAATTCTTAAATTTTCTGAGGTGTTCCAAGTAATGCTGGGAATGCCTCTTCCCTAAATTTATCAGTGGCTAAATTTATCAGTGGCTAAATTGTTGACAGCTTATCCCCTTCGCTTTTCATACAACTACTTTATGGAACTACAAAGATAAAAGGATGTTTTTTTTTACATTATTTAGCAATTTAAACTCGATTTTTACATTTAAAGTGGCTCCAGTTTAAACCAAATCCTCATAAAGCTGGATTTCTTGTCCTTTGTACATACAGAATTAGTATTTGGAAAACTCCTGAATTAATTACTTGAAGAAGAGTAAATACCTTTTAACCTTTAAGGAGCACATGGCTAGGATGTAGATTCAACTGTATTCATGAAACGTACTGAGATACATACATTTCATACTTTCCTTTAAAATGGACTCTTCTAGATGACCTGAGTATAATGTGCTATAATCTGCATAATGTCAGTTTTTCTTCTCCTTTAACTTTTATATTTTAAATTTTTGTTTGCTTTTTTAAAATTATAATTTGTATAAATTGCACAAATAGTGAGACTCACTAGGATATTCCCACATATGCCTGTTGTATGAGTCAGGATTTTACTAGAGAAACAGATGTAACACACACCCACACCCACACCCACACACACACATACACACACACACACACACAAGATATTCAAATATGTTAGAAATTACAAGATTGGCTTAGGATGGTCAGCCACAGAGTCAATGAGGTAGTGTGCAGAGGGTCTCTGCACAATGGAGGCTGAAGGGTTCAGGCCAAGGTCTGAGGCTCACTACAGTGTTCCATGTAAATCCGTATCAGGAGGCTGATGGGTCTGTGAAGGAAGGCTGATGAGTCTGTGTTGGAAGGCTGAGGGATCCAAGATGGGAGCCAAAGGGCCTGTGCTAGAAGCCAGGAGACAGCATCTAAGCTGAAGCCAAAGCCTGGGGCTCTTTGAAACATAGAAGCCAGACTCTCCTTCTTCATTTCCCTTTTATGCCATCCAGGTAACAACTGCCCTAGGGCGGGTCCTTTATACCCTAGGGTGTAGAATTGCTGAGCTGACTCAGTTAAGCTTCTGAACTTCTCAAGTTAACACAATCAATCAAGCACTATATCTATTTACCCTTTTTATTCTTGATTGCCCTCCTGAACTTCCTCCCTAGAACATTCATTCCTCATCTTTAAAATTTCTATTTATTCTCAGCCCTCTTTACTTCATTAATTCTACAATAGCTAGGGACCACTGTTCTATTCCATACTTGTCTAAACTTGATGTAGTGGTTTCCACATAAGAATAGAAAAGTGTCATTTCCCCTTTGCTGTCTGGCTTGTTACTCAGCGTAGTGATTTCCATCTGCCTCCAGGATGCAGCAAATGCCAGGATTTCATGGTCTTTGTGTGACTGAATAATATGTCACTTTAATGACATATTATTCCCAATTCTCATAATCACATTTTCTTTATCCATTCATCTGCTGAAGGACCTCTGGGATTGCTTTATACATAGGCTATTGTTGAGAAGCGCTGCTGCAGACCTGAAAGAGCGAGTACCATGTGAATGTAAAGATTTCATTTCCTGTAGCTACATGCAGAATATAAAATTATCGATCATAGGATATACTCTGTTTGTATAAGTTTACCGGTACAGTTAGATATACATAATAATCATGCTCATCATAGAGAATTTGTACTTGTATATGATACATTTTGACTCCTCTTTTTCCCAGTCATCTCCACAAATCTTGTTTACAATGATTTGCTCCCATTTTATCATTCTTTAATTATGTTTTCTTTTCCATTCTTTTCTTTCTCCCTCACCCATACCTAGTTCCCCTTCCCATTTGAACAAAATCTTCCTATTTCCCAATATCTATTATATACTTTGGATCTTACTTACAGTTTGGTTTCTCACACCAGAGAAACAATGCAGTATTTACACATATGTCCCCTTTATTTCACTTAAGTGTGTGGTCTCAAGGTGCACCCTTTTACTTAGAATTGTCTTAAGCTTATCCTTCTTCAAGCCTGAGTAGTACTCCATTGTGTAAAAATCCATAGTTTTTTGGTTTTTTTGGGGGGGTTTTCTCCGGTACCGGGAACAGAACTCACGACCTTGCGCTTGCCAGGCAGGCGCTTTTGCCGCTGAGCTAAATCCCCAACCCCACTCCATAGATTTTTATACATTCCTTGGTTGATGGGCATTTGGGTGGTTGCCAAGATTTAGCTATTAAAAACTGTGGTGCTATAAACACGGGTACACATATATCACCTGTATGGTAGGATGGTTATAATTCTTCTAGGAAGATACTCACAAGAAGAATAGCTGGGTCAGATGGAACCTCTAATCCTAGTTTTTAAATAAATCTCCACATTGATTTCCACAGGGGTTGCACCAGTCTACACTCCCATCAACAGTGGAGAAGGGTTTCTTTTTCCCCACAGTCCCTCCCACATTTGTTAATTTCTTGATAATAGCCATTCTTTCTGGAGTGAGATGGATTCTCAGTGTTGTTTTAATTTGTAGTTCTAGAATGACCAGCGTGTTGAACATTTTTTCTCATATGAGAAGTGTGTATTCATCTTAGATGCTCATTTTTGGATTAGGTCCTTAAAATTGGAGGTCTGATATTTTTAATTCTCTATATGTTCCAAAGGCTAGTCCCTTGTCTGAAGGACAATGGTCTGAAATTTTCTACCATTCTGTGGGGTGTCTTTTCACTCTATTGGTAATTTTTTTACCATGAAAAAACTTTTAAATAGGGTAAGATCCCAGTTGTAGATTCTTTGTAGTATTTTCCATGCAATTGAGATTTTGTTCATGAAATCTTTGCCTACACATATGTCTTCAAGAGTTCTACCTATTCTCTCTTCCAGTAAATGCCCTACATAGGAAAGAATTGGAAGCCAGGAAACAGATTAAAATAGCTATTCAAAATATTAAAATACTCTATTTTTATAATCACTATACTGGTTTCAATCATGGCTGTATTAGTTTCCATTCACACCAGTAATATACAAGGGTACCAGCATTTGTTACTTTTAGTATCTTTAATTATGACCATTTTGAGTGGAATGAGATGATATTCATAGTGGATATGATCTGCATTGCTATAATTATGAAATTAAGCTTTTTGGAATGTATATGTTGGTCATTTGCATATCTTCTCTTAAGAAGCATTTGTTTAGCTTTTTAGCCCATTTTTCACCTAAGGTTGTGTCTTTCATTTTCATCATTCAGAGTTCTTAAATTTTAGGAATGTCAAATCCTTGATAGATGTACCATTGCGAAATACTTTCTTATATCCAGTTGATTGTTCATGAAACCTATTGAATGTTTCTTTGTGTGCTTTTCTGCAGATGTGTTGTCTTTCGCTTTTTTCAGTTTCAATTTTTTCTACTTCAGAAGCATTTTCTATTTAATTTGCATTTGGTATTCATTGACAGCTACAGTCTTTTTCCAAAATAGTACCTTTTGGAAACTGATCAGCTAGTTTAAATTTTGCTTGTTCATCATTCAATATTATTTCTCCAATCTTCACTACTGGCAGATATACACTCTAAATATGCTAAAACCTTTCTACTTGTGTGCTAGGTCTTTGGATTCCAGTTGACTTCCGAAGACATGAAAAGCCTAGATGGCCTGAACAGAAATTTTCGATATGCTGCTGCTGAATTGTAAGTAACTTTGCACACCTGTTGCCTCACCTTATTTTTAACATCATGTCTGTCTTTTTAGTGCAATGATGTACTAGTTTCCATTCACACCAGTAATGTACAAGGGTACAAGCATTGGTTACTTTTCATATCTTTAATTATAGCCCTTTTGAGTGCAGCGAGGTGGTATCTCATATTAAATATGATCTGCAAAACTTTTGAAGACCAATTCCTGAACTGCAACTCAAAACCAACTTACGTATTTCAAACCGCCAACACTGCAATTAAGCCTGAATGCGGAGGGTTTAGTTTAGAAAAAATAACTATATTAATATCTTTTTTTTTTTTTTTTTGGTTTTTCTCCGGTACCGGGAACCGAACTCATGACCTTGCGCTTGCCAGGCAGGCGCTTTTGCCGCTGAGCTAAATCCCCAGCCCGTATATTAATATCTTTTTGTCTTAAGAGAAAAACAGTGACACAGGTGCCATGGGTTCCCCATCACTGCTTTAATGTGTGTTTGCTCAGAACCCGGGTGTTGCTTTTGCCTCTCCAAAGGGTGCCATGGAGGCAGTGAGGGGAACACTTTGTTCGGAGTTTCTAAAATATCCATATGTGAATGCAGAGGATAAAGTAGTTCTTTAGAAGAAAGAATCAAAAGCAAGGAATGCGTGTGCAGGAAAAAGCACTGCTGAAGAGAATGCATAGTCATCAATAGATCTTGACCCTTGACGCTCTCGAGCCACGGATGCTGACATTAGATAAACTACTCATTTTAAACGCAGACAAACATGAAATGTATCTCACGTCTTCCTCTGAAAATTTTCAGTTTTGTGTTTGAAAGAGGAATAGACAATCCATAATTGCAAGTCTGAGCAATTAACAAATACGTGATTATCATTGCAGATATTAAGTTAGTACACAGAATGCAAAGGACAAGGAGAGAACATGTATTAAGCAAAGTGCAGAGAAATAAGTTATTATTGTCCCATAGGAAATATTTTAACGAGTAGTAGTTAGCGATCACTTCATATTTTGTGTTGTTTTGTAAATATAGAGATCTAAAGGTTGTATGCTAAGTTCTTTGGAAATAGAACTTTATTTTATCAATTCTTAGGACAGTGTTTCAGTAATTAAATCCAACAAATATGTTTTGTGGTATTAGTTGTGGGTAAATAAAAAGTGGATAAGTGAAATGGGGTGAAGTTGCTAACAGTAAACACTGCACCCTGAAACACATTTTCTGTTAGTGAGTATTAGTACTAAGCCTTAAAGTGAACATGACATAATCATCTCTGCTTTCATTGAGAACTGAAGGTAAGACAGTGTTTCCTTTTTTTCTGCATTGGTGGATTAGGGGAGGGAAAATGTAGGAAGGAATTTTTTCTGTGCTTTCTCTATGTTCAGTTGCAGTTAAGAAATACAATTTGGGTAATTCTGTTCAGATTTTTACAAACTTGTTGCAAGTATTCCTTCATAAAACTAATAATGAAGATTTTACAGGCAATGAGGAAATCAGATGATTACCTTCACCCTAATGGCATATCTGCATATGTTACAGCTTTATTCAAGCAAAGATGACTCATCAAGACTATATTACATGTCTTTTTTTAAATTTTAGTCTTGCTGATGACCCTAATTACCCATTTTCCGATGAATATTAATGTGGAGGCGGTTCCCATGATTTCAGCCAAGTGTACCTGGGTGTGGATACTGGTGCAGGAGAAATCACGGATGCTGCTGTTGGACACATCACTTCCCCTCAAACCATGTTCCTTAGGAACTTGCAGTTACCTACACCTCATTCAATACATCCACAGGAGCATGCAATAAAGACCAACAGGTTTTTGAAAAAAATATAAAGGTTTTGTCTAAAACTACTTTTTGCATTTTTCTGTTATATTCATAGTTTCTTTTCTTATGATGCCTAATTCTCCAACACTGCTTGGCTGGAAGTGTGAGTTATAGTGTGGGAGATGACAGCAGCCATGTTATAGCATGGGAATGGGTACAGTTGGCAGGTTCTGGGAGAGCAGCAGTTATTCACTAACTGCTTGAGGCAGTCCCTCTTCTAGCACAAGGATGAATGTGAAAACGCGTTGCATTTAGTGCGTGGTCCTTAGGCTGGAAAGTCAGGCACATACAGGAGAGTGATGAAGACATTAAGGGGTGCCCTCTTGCCACTCAACTCTCACAGCTTCTGCAACAGTTAAATGAGGTCTCCTGGTGGAGATAAAGGGGTCATTGAAGTGGAAGGAGTTGAACACATCTTTGCTTTGCAACACTGTCTCATGTTCACTTGGTAATTACATCAGGCAGACAAAAATAAAATTTCCCAATTTTTTCAGCAACGTGAGATCTCAAAGCCATTTTTAACACTATGTGTAGAAAAGAACCGAGAAGTACCTCAAATTAGAGAAGTGTAAAAATAGTTATACCAATTATCATGAATTATACAAAGGAATCTTTTCAATCCCTTGAAAGTTTATTATACAGTCTGATGTCACTGCAATTCTGAGACAGGAATCTCCCAGCACTTCAGTGCAAAAGTGTAGTAACTGCTGGACACTGGCCAGTCAACATTATGGAACTTGTGGCCAGCAGTTACCTGTTTAAAGCAGACATGTCCCAGTCACAACCAGTGGGCTACAACCCCCTGGAAAGCTCATCTTGAGGCCCTACATGATTGCGAACTCTTAACATTATTATGTGAGTTTTAGTGATTTTTTTTTTTTCCTGACTGGATTGTCTGATGTCCAAGCAAAGCAGGAGTCACCAGATTGCAGTGTAGGGAAGGGCCCAGTGTAGTGGTAAGTGCGCTTCCTGTGTGCACCACGCGGAGTCAGTCAAAGTGAACTGTGTGTGTCAGATAATCACAAGTGCATATGATGGTATTTGTGGAGTAAAACGTAACAATTGCAGACAACAGCATATCCCCCTATCTGTGTGTCTAGGAACACAGGCATTTATTTTTATTATGCAAACATATATGATTTCTTTTCAATTATTAAGGTTGGACCTGTGCTATCAGGTAAAATAATTTCACAAATTAAGAAGATAAAATGGAAATTTTGTTACTTATAATAGATATACAAGTTTAAAAAATTAAAAACAACTGAAATCTTTATCACCATGAAAAAGAAAGGAACAAAACAGTATATAGCATATTGGATTAAAAAATAATAAACAATTAGTAATAAAAATGCAGTAAAGCCAAAAAATGGCATGAGAAACAAATGAGAAAAAAGAAAATTAAAGACAGAATACACTAAATCCAAGTAAGTAACAAAAATAAATATAAATAAATGAAATTATGAAGAATAATGACATAGAAAAACCTAACCAAAACACAGAACAAAGAAAATTAGGCAAAAATTTCTCCCAGCTGAAGCAAATGCATAGGAAAGGCTTCTTTCTGGGTCTTCCAATATCCTAGTACTCCAGTACCCCAGGTGTGGAAGTACCATGTCACAGGTCAGCCAGGTGTGATTCCTGACAGCTTTCACCAAAGAGAATGGGGGTAAATGCAGGTGAAGCCCAGCCTCAGAATTCATTCTAAATGGTTAAAAGTACATAATGGAAAATTGATCTACATGCTCTCCACAGCCTTTCTGTGTATATATCTGAGCTGGTGGTGAAAGTGGAATCTGTAAAATGCTTGTTACTGCCTGAGATTCAGCAGGTTTTTTTGTTGTTTTGGTACCAGGAATAGAACTCACAACCTCGCACTTGCTAGGCAGGCTCTGTGCCACTGAGCCATATCCCTGTCCCTTAGCAGTTTTTGTGCCAGACTGAGTCCACGTTGTTTTCACAACCCCTCACACTGTGTGCCCAAGGACAAGATGAAAGTCAAATTGTATTCACTTTTAATAATAATTGTATATATCCATAGGGTAGTCAGCAGTGTGATTTTTTATCTTGGCATGTGCTCTTAGAAAAAAAATTTTTTTTAGTCTTTTTGAAACAGGGTCTTCCTGTGCAGTTCAGGCTGACCCTGAGCTCACTTTGTAGGCCAGGCTGGTCTCGAACTCACAACGATTCTCCTGCCTCAGCCTCCCGAGTGCAGGGATGACAAGCGTGCAACACCACACCCAGCATGTGGTGTTAGAAATGTTAAGCAAGCTACTAACAATTCTAGCACCTCAGCAAATTCTTCCAATGACAAAAATAAAAGTTCAGTTATCTGGGCTCACCTTGCATGGAGGACAAGGAAAACAAGGTTGACCTAGGCTACATTAGAAATAGACCCGCCTGGGGGATTGTCTCTGGTGTGAGCTAGACGTCAAGGCAATTTTAGAAGTTAAGGAGTCAAGGGAAGGAATATGTCCACTATCAATCTTTGGATTCCAAAAATGATCATTACATGTGATAGAGGCTCCAATCTCACATTTGCCCCAGTTTAGAAAGTATTAACATAAAATGTACAACTGAGACTACCAGACACTTTTATTGTACCTTCAAAACACTCTGATCCAGTTGAGCACAGAGGGTAAAGGGAAAATATGGAAAGTTAAAACTTTAATGTAGGAAAGACACTTGCAGGAAGAGAGAAAACACAAGGAAAAGCATCATATGAAATAATCCACTTTTGCTTGAAGGAAAAGAACAAATGAGATGAGCACTGGGTGACTTTTTCCACAGGAATTCTGGGAACTCTTTCTGCAGGGATTCTCAGAGGAGAGAGGGTGAGCCAGCCAAGGCTCAGGCTTGAAGCTTTCCTCATCTCTTTGTTCTCTGGTACACAGCACATGTATTAATAACTAATTGTGAGTATTCCAGTCTCTTAATTCTACTGGAGAAATTGCGTGGTACACAGGTTCTTCTGCATGACCTAGATTGATTAGAAGATTTTCAAAGATTCAAAGTTCCCCTAGTTTGTACACAATCAGGCACAAAATGAAACTGATCTTAATAGATTTGAAGAATCCCAATTCCTACAAGAGAGGGAAAACAAGATGCACACAGAATGTATAAAGATAAGAGTGAGTTGTTATGTCATAAGTGGTAAACATGCATTTGCCATTGTGAATAATTGGTTCTATTTTATTTTTGCTCACATCCTAAAGAATAATTTTCCAAACATCTATGCAAGGTCTTGCTTTAAGATGGCACTACACAAAAAATGAACAACATGAATGAACAAATGAACAATACCCTTTTAGAGTAAATTTTATCCAGAAGTTCCATGTAAATGTGGGCAGAACAATTACCTCCGTGTTAGAGACATTTTTCCACATTTGATCCATGTACAAAGCAATAGGTCAAAATGACAGAAAACCACTCCCTGTTGCAAATTCCCTTTCAAGAGAAGTGTAAAAATAGGGAGAGTAATCATGCTACCTTTGATTTAATTGATGGATTATCCTTGAGGAGGGTTTAAATATGAATGGCAATAGCTCTAGAGGAGAGATTTTCAGAGGAGCAAATCAAGTCAGTAATTGAATTGGTTCAGTTATGATGTGCAGCATTACCCAGGGTTCCTCAAAGGAGATGGTGATATTCGTACACAGGGCATTGTATATTCACCTGAGTTTCTACCAGGCAGTGTGCGAGGCTTTTGGCTGGTCTAAGCCCTCTCTGCAAGAAGGGACAGTCAACAATACAGGGCCATGTTTTGGGCACATTGGACACCTCACGCTCGGTGCAGAGCCCAGGCAGTGGCTTGGTATAGTCGCATGCCCAGTGTTCAGACTTCTTGCTAAAACAGGAACCTTGGGTGTCCTTGGGTTTTCCCTTAGATGACCTGCGTGAGTCTGAAGCATTGCCAATTGCAATAGCTATAATTTTGGCCTTCCTCTCTATCCCAGTTGTTGAACACAGAGATGGCCATGCCCATCAATTAGATAATAGTTATCTGTGGTCCCATCTGAAGTTTCTTCATTAAGCAGATGGGCGAGACACCCCCCCAAGATAGGTGGAAGTCCAAGGACAGAATCATCAGAGATACCCCTGTCTTCCTTGGGGGCCATTCTAAATACTATAATTTTGGGGATTTCCCTAACATAAAGGGTCATAAAATTCTGAACATAAGGGACTTCACATTTTATGTTTCAAGCAGGAACAATTTAACTAAGAAAGTCCTGTACTTATCTCTCGTTATTTTCTATTCATATTGCACCAAAACCATATTGCAATAGTAGTAAGCTATTTCTTTTTTAAATTATCAGGGTCAGATATTTCCCATTGATATAGGATAAGGCCTAGTGGTGAAGTCAGTGGAACCTGCAGGGTGTGATTCATGAGGTTTCACAGGGCTCATCTTGCAGCCTGTGGAGAGGGACAACTGGTATTGGGTTCTGAACTGATTACTTTATTCTCGTTGCTGAAGCAAAATATCTGACACCTAGAATTAAGGAAGGAAAAGTTTATTTAGCTCACAGTCTGTGGAGGTTTCAGTCCTTACTCAGCTGGCTCCAAGGCAGAGTGACACAAGGCAGAGAGCAAGAGCTCATGGTGGTGGAAGACAGCAAAAGCAACAAGAGCAAAAAGGGACTAGCGGCAGAACAGAATCTTTCCCTGGTTTCTACTGTATGCAAATTACCCACCCCAGGGTGGGTGGAGGTGTCACATCCCTAATCCCAGCATTGGAGATGGATAAAAACAAAAAACAAAAAAAAACAAAAAACAAAAAAAAAAAAACCCCTAGGAACCTGCCCCATGCCTGCAGGAGGTTTTGGGGAACATCTAGACACAAACTATGACAGGTCCTTAGGAAGATATCCCCTGCAGATGAAAGTGACCCAATGAGCCTACAAGGCATCCTTATGAGACTCAGTAATTCACTAGACATATATCTCTATCCAAGGCATCAGCATCTTTCATAGAAGAGTAGAAGAAAGCCCTACTGCTGGTATTTTGTCTCCATATTGAAGCCCACTCG